TCTATCACACCTTGCTAGGCTTGAACTTCCATCCAATCAGAGCATTCCAAATGAACATGATTCTCCACAATACTAGAGGGCGCTCTGACCAAAAAATTGCCATGATCTAAATAAAAAGAACTGATATATATATAAGAAAACAAGCAGAACACTTATAAAAGATAAATACAATGGCCACTATTATATCGGCCGTTTTGATTTAAATCACGAAACAAAATGCCGTAGATCAGTTACTAACCATGCGACATTTCAATACCAAATTTGAATGTAATAACTTGAAGCGAACATCAATGCGGCCTTAATTTATAGTTGTGTATATCCAAAACTGTATTTGAAATAAAATTGCAGTGGTTTAATTTTTTTAATTACAACTGAAGCTTTGGAGAGGGGGTATTTGAAATGCTTAAAATTACTAGTAAACCCCATGGAGGCCATTTATGGAGGGATGTAAATAACGAACGAACATATTTAACATCCGGGTACTTTTCAAAGCTATGACGTTTTACTATCTGAACACCTTCGTATACGCCATTCATACAGCCTAGCATTGTGTACTAGAAGTATAAACTTAACTTTCATATGTCTAATTAGTTTTTGAGTTTTAGAACTTGGATTAGAAATGCATGCGTTTCAATCACAGTACTCTTACAGTGAGATGTCCAATTGCCTTGAAGTACCGTACTTCCTCGATCATAGGCTCCTCTTCCATAATTCGCCCACCCCTCTATTTTTCAACACATTCAGACATTTAACGATTTGAGGGCATCCCCCGATTATAACCCCATCCATTAAAATATGCGTGTAAAATGCGTGTTGCATTGCATAATAATCGTTAGGGCATGCCCGAGAAACTGTTGATATGTTCAAATCGATGAAAGAGCAACCAAATAAAGAAAAAAAATGACGTGCATATCGGTATGTTCGAAAAACGATGATGTATGGACATGTGCAAAACAAGTCCTTGATTTAGGCTGGGGGGGGGGGGCAATTTTATATTATACTACGGTATATATACGATACAGTGTCAGGTAGTTATGAGATTAGAATAGGATGGGATGAGATAAGATGATATTTGTATAGACGGAATGTAATTTATTGACATTAAAAAAAATGCACAGATAGCTAAAAGTGTTTACAATGAAAACACATAATAGTACCGAGTTTGTGAAAGCGTGGCACTGTCATCGTACTCGACTTTCTATATTGTAATGTAGCTCAAAGGGGAATTTCGGGGATTACTCGCTTCTGCAGTGTAGGGATACCATAAGACCTTATAACGGAACACTGAAGTCATTCACACACCCATGTAGTCAGACACAGTCAGTTTCTGGAGTTGAGCTTCGATGTTCTTTAATATTAAGACACGTGAGACACCCCTTGCTAGGTTATCGCAACCATTCGTCAAGACCTGCACCTGCTATGACGTCCCAACGTCCCCCTCATTCCATTTTTCCCCCTCCCCATTTAAGCGTTGACGAGAAGTCAGTTCACACCTGCTGGCACATGAATTCACACTACGTGGCCAAATAGTAAT